TTCCCAGGTAGCTCATTGTTTTCCACTTGTTTTAAGAATCAGCTTTTTAAATGCATCTTCCTTATTTTTTGTAGATAGTGTAGTACATAAACGTTACTCTGCAGTTGTGATAACTTGTGCTAAACATATAAAGTCATCTATTAAAAAAGTCTATATTTCATTGAAAACATTATTCAGATAGCACACTGGTTCCCAAAATAGTCAAGATGTTCAGATTACTGGTGTGGGGGGAGTTGGTGATGGATTTGGGAAAAGAAAGCACATCATTCCCTGATGATGCAGGATACTGGCCACTGAGAATAAGCCTTCTAGAAATGAGCTAAAAGGCACAAATCAAAAGCACAAATAAATACAGTAATAAATCCAAGTTTTTTACTGTTGTTTGCAGGTAGAATATCATCTCTGGTGTTAAAGGCATGCGTTACAGGACAAGCTGCATCCATTTTGTCTGTTACGTGTACAGAAACGATTCCTCAAATGTCTGCTTATGGAGCAGTGGGAAGTCAGGGGGCAGGATGAGGACAAGAGGGACAACACATGCTGCCGACTCTTGCTGGACGTACAGGAGTCCTAAAACTCATCAGTACAAGAATAGAAGTCTGGGTGTGAAAGCCAGCGTTTCCCTCTGTACGTTAGTTTTGCATCTGCTTTGGTTTTGTTGTGGGTTTTGGTGCAGTGTGCCTGCCCGGTCTCGCAGGGCTTTCCTCTGAAAGAGGACATGCAGAGCAGCTGGCCCAGCCCCAGGAGGGGGTTAATCTCTGCCCACATACTACCACTGCTGAGCCATGCTAATGAATTGAATTAACAAAAAGCCTGTTGCTTTTCAGGAAAATGCACGCTTTACCAAGCATCCTGTAAGGAAAAATACTGCTGGCAGAAACACGAAGCTTTTTTAGAGAAAAAAGTACTGAGGTGCTGGGGGTGTGATTGCTTTTGGGAGATAATGAGCCCCTCTGAAAGCCTGACTCTGATACGACCTTCTTCCTGGTTCATCGCTTTGTCTGTAACATCCGTACAGGATTTTTTGTTATATTCAAATGTGGTTTTACAAGTAAAAGGCCAATGGGGGCACCTTTATTGTTGCAGAGACTTTATTCATTTTCAAATTCAGTAGTTTTAATGCATACAATGATGTTGAGGAATGGGAAGGAAAATTATAATAAACTTTGGTTTGTATTTATGTGAATTCAGGTCTGTAAAATGGTGATTGATCCATACCTCATCTTGTTGTTGCTCTGGAAAAATAGTTAATTTGACAGAGAATGCTTTAACCACCCTGAAGTTCTTTGTTGCAAAGTATTCAGTTTGTAAGCTTTCACAATATTAAATTAGATATTGCATATAGAATTATTTTTAAAGACACTTTAAAAAGAAATCAAGAGAGTGTGTTGTCTTCTGTAGACACCTCTCTCTCTCAAAAACTGGAAGAATTAAAGAAATAAGTAAGCTAACTGTTCAGTTACCATATGCTACCTAAATCCTCTGCAAAATCATGAATAGACTTTGCAATAAGCTAGGTGGGTTTGTAAACTTCTGTTACTCTTTACCAAAAAAATCATTAGAAGAGCACAGGGGAGGAAGAACCCCTTCAAATAGTGCCCAGGAGGAGATTTTCATTGCATCTGAGGAATTGCCATGTCACGCTTATTTTCTCTTACTCACGTTTGCACATGTGGTCTCTTTTTGAAGTGTTGGGGGGGGGGGACGGGGATGGACACACCTTTTGTATTCTCCATTCTGGCTTTGAAAATGTATATTTCCTTCCGTCTCACTTCCAAATAATGTCATTGTAAGATCTGGGATAGGAAACATCAGAATAACTTCCGTTGAAGATAAGTAATTTTTCTGCTTTAGCCCAGAAGAAGAGAAGCTCTCAAATGTTGATGTCACAAGGTGAATAGACAGATTAACCCAAATATTTTTGGAGTTTGAATGAGTGAACGGATGCTTTTGCTTGCCATGTCAAGTTCCTGTGGGTTTGGACTTCACGTGGGCTTTGTGGCATGGCATGATAGAAACACTGACGCTGTATAGTTTGGGGGGGGGGGCGGGGGGGCACCTTGAATACAAGACATGTATTGTGGTTTACCACACCTTTGGGGTTGTTTCAGTTTCTCCTTTCCCTCATTTATTTTCAGAGCAAGCTGTGTCCAACTTTTTGCTTTCAGAGCAGAATGAACTTTGTTGACCCTGATAAACCAGTTTTTACCAGTTTGGAAGCACACAAAGATGCTAAACGGATAGAAGTGTGGAATGATTTTACAGTTCTCCATGACTCCGCTTTTATTTTCTGTGGCTTGCCTGCTACAGAGGTTGCTGGCAGCTTTCTGGTTTAAAGAAGTATTGAGGATCCTCTAAGGTGTTAAGTAAGGGCTAAGCCAAACAGCCCAGTACGTCCGGAGGAGTAAAAAGAGAGATCTTTTGGCCCTTTGCCTCCCAGGTATGCTGAGCAAAGTGGAGACAGCTGAATCTCTGGCCAGCAGCATCTGAACTAGTGTAGGCAGTCTAGGGATTTGGAGCAGTGTGTTCCTATTTGGCCATTCTAATAGCATCAAATGTGTAAAATGGATGCAGTGGGAGGGCTGGCAGTGGCAGCCCTTACTTAAACGAGTAGTCCTCTGGCAGCGGCAGGACTGCGCAGATGTGTAAAGGCTGCAGAATGAGATGCCTGGTTATGATTGCTGTTGGTGCAGAGCTGCTAACAGCTTTCTAGTGCTCTGTTGTCACTGTACTGTGCATTGTAATGAGCCATAATTTACCCAACTGGGCCATCCTCAGTATTTAGAAATGCATGATATTCTTCTGAAACTGCAGATTCTAGATAAGATTGTTTCACTGGACTGGTACTCATTTTTTTGAAAGTATTTTTATCTCATGTGCATCTGTCAAAGTATTAAACCATCTGAAATCACATTGATAGCAGTGAAAGCTGCAGATACCGTTTCTTTTCATGTAATAAAACTATCTTGTATTGTTAACATGCACTCGAATGACATAGTTGCTTTAACAAAAAGCTTCATTTTTATGAACGTTTAGCATTCACATATACTTGTAATATAACCAGCTAAGGTGTCAGAACAGCTTCAAAACTTGATCCCTCTGTGTTGGCCAGTTAGTGCTGTTCACTTACATGTGTTTGGGAGCTGCAATCTTCCTGTGCAGCATGGGAGGATCCGCTCCCTCTCTGGGAGGCGATTGCTGCCCATGGTTGTATGCAGAGAAGTACTTTGTTTCCACAGAAAAAGAGTAAACCTATATATGTTGTTTACAGGTTAATGCTTTTTTTTGGTTACTTAATCTCTGATAGCTGAGGAGGGCTTTCAGTGCATTCTCAAACACCATTTTTCATGACTTAGTAAAATCCATGGAGAATTGCCACATACTCAAATGGTGGACTGATACCGGGAAAGAGCAAAAGAAATTAGCTTTCTTTTGTTTTGTCTTGTCTTTACTTAAAAAAGAAACTAAACAAAACACCCCACAAACTTCTAGGGCTACTGCTTGGTGGAAGTGTGGTCATAGCAGCAGGATTGATCAGACTACATGTTATAGGAAGACTTTTAAAATGTTTTAGAGCTGGCAAACTGGTTTGTGGACTGTCTTTCTGTGCTGCAATAGTCATGTAAGAGAAAGTTTCCGTTGTGAGGTAGGTCGAATGTTTCACGTTAATCCCAACGCACACTGGTTCCCAGGTGTTCCCTCGCCTTCTGTAAAAGCCCGATTCCATCTCAGAGCACATTTATCCCTGATTTCCCCATAGCTCTTTCCCCACCATTTCTTCCCCCTGCACTGCTGCAGTTTTCCCTTGCTGAAATGTCCTCACCTAGAGAGACCTGTGTGCCTGCAGTGCATCAAAACCAGCGCTGAAATAACTGCCTTGCCGCAACGCTGCTCTTCCCTAACCTGTATAACCCTCATTGCTGAATTCTGTACTCTCGTATTTAGACACGGATCAGATACACCTGTATGTGTTAGCTTGATTTACTAAAAGCACCAAGTTGATAGCCTGGAGAGGTACCTATGCTCTGCGGCCATGGCCTGGGAGTGCTTTGGGTGGCCCATGGGTGGGAGCGCAGGAAGGATTTGTAGAATTGCTGGATAAGGTACAACTAGCCTAACAAAACTGGGCTCTGCTGTGACATATACAACAGTGATAATTAAAATAGTACAATTTCAAGAAAGGAAGCTTTCAGACAAAAATTAGCCTATGTGTTGTCTTTGTCAGGTACATATGCTCTCAATTACCAAATACCAGATTTTATTTTTGCTTAGTGTACTTATTGGGTACTTACTACTTTATTGTTTCTTGCAGTTATCTTGTCATAGCAAATAAAAGCATTGTGTATGGGAAATTCAGATGCCAGTTAATCCCTTACTGTTATTTGAAGAACTGCAGTTAAAACCTCAGTGTTAGAGATTCTAAAGAGGTTTGGAATAATTTCAGTAATTAGAAAACATACGGTATGGGGCTGCCTGTCATTGCATCATGCTGCTGCAACTGAGTCATGCAGTAAAGAAAATCAAACCGAATAGATTTGGTGGTTTTAGTTCTTCAAGAAGCTTCTTGCTTTTCTCTCCTATAACCAGTACTTCACTGAATTAAGGAGAATTACTATGAACAGGGTATTTTTTCAGCCTGCATTTAAAATGTTGTAAAAGAATAAACCATAAATTCTTGGGAAGACATTCTGTGTTTGCCTTGTCCTCAGTTGGGTGATATGTATTCAGCACATACAGATAATTTGTTAACAAGGCCTTTTTAACACTTTGGACAGATGCACATACTGTTTTCAATCTTCATGGTTAATTATTCGATTTTGTATTTGATGATAGAACACCCTGACTCCTAATCACTGCTCATTGTTGGAAGTCCATTATATTCTAACTGTTTGAGTGCTCCCGTTGACCTTGAACTGACATTATAAGCTGTTTCTAATCTTTTCACTCTATATTTCTAATGCTCCTTTTCTTTCTCCTCTCTTTGTCTGGTGCCCGTTTAGCATCACAATGGGGCTGCCCCTGAGTCCAGCCGCCGACTCTGCCCGCTCAGCGCGGCACGCTCTCTCCCTCATCGCCACCGCCAGACCACCCGCCTTCATCACCACCATTGCCAAGGAGGTGAGCAGGGCCAGTCAGCTCAGCTGCAGCAGCTTTTCCTCCGAGCTTTGAGACTTCTGGCTTGTGAACAGAGATAGACAACCAAATGTCCCTCCCTTCCTCCCAAAAAGGGAAACAGCAAGTGTAATATTTGTATTCTCGCAGATATCCAAATCACCCATAATTTATGACAGGAGCAATATTTAACTGAGTCCGTTGAGTTGTGTCTGTCTTAATTTGTTGTATCCCAGTTATGTAAACTTCCAATAGCAATGTGTAAATTCCTGCTTGCTTTAGGCAATGCAGGCATGACCCCATTAAGTATGGATTAAGACAGAGTGGAGACTTAGCCATGGGGTTTGGAGGGTGAGGAGGAAGGGACGCTGCTGTGAGGTTAGTGTAGGCTGGGCACGGTCTGTCTGAGAGTCGCCTGAGTGAACCCAGATGCAGCCTGGAGCTTTGGCTGAGCTAAAGCAATAGGATGGGCGATGATCAGTGGCCGGCCAAAAAAAGCTTGTTATAAAGCAGCCATCTAATACCTAAAGAAAGATGTACAAGTATATGGAAATTATGTAATCGAGACCCAGGCATTTCCTTATCTTGACCTTTAGTTTTAAGAGATTAAGAATTACTCAAAGCAGGTAAGCCCTTGTTTAAAAACTACATCAAGGATAACCATTAGTGGCTCTACTGATGGTGAGTAACGGGGGAGGGAGAAACAATCCATAGGTCTCAAAGTAAGGCAAAGCATTCTGCAGTACAGGCTTTCTTAATGTAACACGTGTATAACAGTAAGCACAGATGGAGAATATTTAGAGAACGCGAGTCTCCACTTGTAACCCTGCTCTTTGGTAGGTGCACAGACACACTGCCCTCGCAGCGAACACGCAGTCTCAGCAGAATATTCACACCACCACTCTTGCTCGGGCTAAAGGAGAGATCTTGAGAGTCATTGAGATACTTATTGAGAAGATGCCTACTGATGTTGTGGACCTTCTTGTGGAGGTAAGGCTGTTCTGCCATATCTGCTTGTGGGTTTGATGTAACAGTGAATAATGTGTTGGCCTGGAGTCAAATCGTAGGATTTCTTTCTGCCTGGACCACAACCTTTGTGTGTGTGAAGAGGATTTGTTTTATACCACCCAGCTCATTTTTTGAACTTCAAAATTGCATTTAAATTTCATTAAATTGCATTGTTTGGGAAAAAACCCAAGCAAGAGAGTATGCTGGAGATACGGGTGTGCTCATCGCACTGGTACTTGGACGTGCTGGGGATCACATGGATGTTTTTATCTGTTGCATTTGTTGGTGCTGACGAATATTGTTGAAGAATGGTACAGATGATGTATCAGATTTGTAACTTTGATACTGATGCCCAGAGGCCTTTTTCACACCGGATCTACTTAAAGAGCTGTGATACTTATGTTTACCAGTAGTTTGTTGGTTTAGAACTGTTTATGGGTACTCTGAATGGTTCCAGTTGCCAGTACGATTGCTGTTGTAAACTCTATCATATGCAAGACAGTTATTGTTTGTTTTATCCCAATTGCATTTTAAAGTTAGGTATTAAAGATGCAATCAGGCACAGAAATTCTCTATTTTTGCCTGTTAGAACTTCTATTATGAAACATAAAATACAGTATGTCACATGATTTTAACTTTTGTTTCCAAGGTTATGGACATCATCATGTATTGCCTTGAAGGATCTTTAGTTAAGAAAAAGGGTCTTCAGGAATGCTTTCCAGCCATCTGCAGGTGAGCTCTTCCTCCAAGAATACTGTGAAGTAAATTGTAGGGTCACCAGCAGGATATATTTCTTACTTAAGAGTAAAGCAATCTTTTACATGATGTTTGCCCCTTAAAACAACAAATGCGAAGAGTGTTTTTAGCTCACCTATAAGCCCTTGTAGGCTTTTAGTTCTCTGCCACATCTGACAGAGATGTGGATCAGAGAAGAAAAGCATTAAGAACTTCTTGAAGTTTGGATATTTTAGAAGTCCAAAACCAGAAAAATATTGTGTAATGTCATGAAAAACTGTCCTGCTACCCCTCCATATATCCTATCTGCTCCATTGGAACAGCCACAGAAGCTGGGCAGCTTCCTCCAAAGGATTTATCAATATCTTTGTTGTTACAAAAATGAGAATAATGTACTTGAGTAACAAGTTAGATTCCAATATGTACAACCTGCCTGAATGAATTAGTTGCCACCATCAAAGCGACTAGGTTAAAAAGAAAATGGTGACAGCAGAAAATAAGGATGTGGTTTTGGGGGCATGATGGGTGGTGGTGGTGGTGTTCCTAGACAAGCCGTGCAGGGGGCCTGCATTGTGGTGGTTTGCATAAATGCCTCGCAGCCAACTGCTGTCCATTAGTACCTTCAGACTAAGCCATGAGCAGCCAATGTAAAGTATGTCAGAGTCAGATTTCCCGGTGTGCTGAGGATCCAGGGCTTGTCAAAGCAGGAGCTCTTTACTTGCATTTCAAGATCTGTTGTCAGCAGCACAGTCCTTCAGCAAAGCATGCTCTCATGCCAGGAGTTTAGCCAAATACCAGGTAAACTTTTCATTCATAGGAAGCTTAAGCCTGACTCTGTTTTGTTCTCTGAAACATCCTCTAATGGAGAATTTTGAGAATAAATGTTACTTCCTTTATGGCAATAGCTAACTGCTGTAATTTGCCTAGTAGCTGGCGGTAGGGCATAGTTATCGGGGGAGATCATCTCCTGTCCAGGCACTTCCAAGTCCTCCTGAGCTGTTCACACAGGCATAGCAGTGCCATCCCATAGGAAAGGTCAGTGAAATGGATGTAAGAAATAGATAGCACCAAATGCCTTCCTGGAATAGAGCCTTGCTTTCACTGCCCTGTGACTGTCTCCCAGGTGTCTGCCAAGGGACCAGGTTGTGCTCCAAAATTGTTGTTGTAGGCAGGGAATGTAACCCTCGCCCTTATGGTAGCAGGCTGCCCTCTCCCCTGGTTTTAGGAATATTTTTGGGATGCTTGCACTAGATGCAGGAGATTCAGTTGAAATTAAACCTTGCAGAGTGTAGAGAGCACTGCTGGTCGCTTTGAGCTGCCCCTCACTCTGCAGTGTGTGGAAACGTCTTGGGCAGCATTTAAAGCTCTCCATCCCTGGCGACAGGTAGGTCAGTAAAATAACAAGTATGAATTTGCACAAAATCATAGGGGGAGAGTAGTGCAGTGGCTGTCTTGTGCTCACATTGTCGGTGACTTGGCAGTTCGCCGAAAGGCACCAGTGCCAGTTCAGACGCTGGCTCCTGCTGACCTTCTTTGGGAATTCAGCATCATTGGTTGTCTTTGTCTTGGGCTACTTCTACTTCACTCTTAAAAAGGTACTTTCAAATAGTAAAATGTGATTTATAAAATATGAACATTTACAGTATCTTTAGACTATGATAACTATCCCAGTTATACTATTAAGCTGGTACAACCAATAAATTATAATAATCACCTGTCAACAATTACTTTTTAATCTAATAAGCTATTAAAATATTAAATAGTTTCAAGAAAAGAACAATTATCCCGTTGACAGGTAGGATACTGATAGAGGTAATCTTCCTTCTTCCTGATACTTTAAAAGGCTTACCTTAAAATATAAATGCAAGGATAAGTAGAAATAAGCGCAAAAATCTCCCTATTCCTGTTGTATTTTTATAGTGATACGTTATCTTAAAATTCTGTTAAATTACTAGTAATATTTCCTATTCTACATAGTTATGGCCATTGTAAAAATGATACAGCACCCCACCGATGTGATCATTCAGCCCAATGGAAATTTTAATCAGATTTTAACAAATGGTTGAACCTCTGGAGAGATTCCAAGTGGAAGCGCTTCGACATAATCCTATTGTTAATTCTTTTAATATCCCAGTACTCTTTCTGCTGTACTGCATTATGTGCACCCCTGTTGTGGCAAAATCATTCAGGTGTCTCAGTGCTTGGTGTGCAAACTCTGCTTCCTCGGAGGACATTATGGAAGTACCTTACTCATGGCTGTAACGGCAAACGTTTGTTGGTGCCTCTGCAGTCTCTTGGAAGTGATGCTCCTGTTTCAGCAGAACATTAAACCCAGGGCTGGGAGCAGCAGTGTGCTGGGTTAAAGTACCTGATTATCATTCCTGTCGGGTTTTCAGCCTTTTTTACTGTTGTACAAATGTAGCAGTCATGCTGCTAATTGCTGTGAGCGTGACTCAATCCTGATGGGTGGTGATGAGGTAAATCCATCGCTGTGGATATTTTTGGATGTCATATCTTACAGCATATGATTATGGTGTCTATTTGTTTTTCCCATAAGTGTTATTCTTTATAGAGGCTCATACTGCCTTTTGGCATGCTGTATGCAAACCCTTTTCTTATCAAAATAAAATAAGTATTGAAGTACAATGCAATGAATATGAAATATTTCTGAATTTCTTTAAAATTGCGAAGGATAATATTGAAGGTTGCAAAATTCTGTTAGACTTGAGCCTTTTCCAGATTCAGCAGTTGCATTGGAGCTGAGTGGTCCCTGATGGACTCTGCTTGGTCAGGTCATGTATTTAGTACAGGCTGCTGAGTTAAAGCGGTCTGTGTAACAGCATAGTCTCACATGGGAAGATAGATTAAATTTAAAATAACAAGTGTTTTTTATGGCTTTTTACTAGGGAGTAGTCTTGCAGGCAGAGTGAGAATTTCAAGGATTAGACAAAGTGAGGTTGTACAACAAAATTTTATACCTTGATTATTTCTAGGATTTTGGAGAGTATAATTGAAGGAATCAGAGTCCATCAGCTGGAGGTGCTGTTGTGGTAATGCTCAAGGGAGCCTGAAGCCTCATTCTGTAGAAGGGAAAGAAAAAAGAATGAAATGTGAAATAGGACTGGAGAATATCGAAACTTTAATACAGAATCCCTCTGGCTATTGCAAGATACTGAAGTTTGAAATTAAGATTTAATGAAGCTGTGATGTTAAACAACAATTATTTTTTTTAATGAAGATTTAACATTCCATTTTTGTGCTGGTTTTAAATTAGAATGTTAATTTAAGAAAAAAAAATGTTTTAGAACCCCTTAGATACTTCAGCAGTCACTAATTCAGGTTTTAAATCAGTTGGTGGGCCTTCACTGAACCACAGTGTGGCTGCTGTTGGCTTTTCCAGTATCAGATTAAACCCAAGCCAGCCCAAGCAGCCCCATTTCCAACTGTCAAGTGTGCTTGCTAGTATTTGGTGGAAGAAGAAAGGTCATTTTCCTACTAAGTCCTTAACCCAGCTTGCTTATGCTGAGTTCCCACCCTGCAATGTGGTATCCAGGTGGTCATCCCATTGCAGGATGCCAGCTTTCACTCAGCTTGCAGCCTTTGCAGCATGTCACCCCGGCATCGTGACTTGTATTGCAGAGGACCTGAAGGTACGTGTGGAAGAGACTGGTGAGGGTGAGGAGATCAGCAGGGGGAGGCTGGGCCATCTTTCTCTTGATGTACCCCGTTTTCATTTGGAAAAAGGTAGAAGGGAAGGCCGTGGGCTTGTCCCTTAATGTAGAGGATTAGCTGATACCAGCAATAGCAGCACAGTTCTGTCAGTTCCAGCAGAGTTCCTCCAAAAGCTGGAAGAAGTGGTCTGCTGGCCAACAGAAGCTTCTCTGCAGAGCAGTAATGGGGCAGCACTCAGAGCAGGGTCTCCGTTAAGATGCCGACTATGGATATGGATGCACCAACTAAACTTGCAAAACTGAATTTGTAGCGTAGTCTAAATATATGCTAGCATATCATTCTTTACTGAACTCTACCATATAGAAGTTTAGAAAGGGGTGCAAAGGGTTAAAATATTTAAATCTGTCTGTGGTTGTAACAGTGCTAACCTCACTAAAAGATAAAAGAATGAGGCTAAAGAGCTGACAACTGAATGTCAGTTTAAGGAGTAATTTTTTTTTTTAGAAAATTATACTCAAAACCATCTATTTCCTTGAAGCTTTTTTTCTCCCAAGCCCTCTGTTGTTATTTAGTCTGATGGATTCTTCTTTTCAAAGAAAAATACTGGCTCAGCGCTCTGTCTAAATGGGCATTTAAATGCAGTAAGGAGAGAAATGCTGTTTGCTTACATATAACAGTATGCGATATTCTTTCTAAATCTATTGGAGGAGACAAGTGGACTGCACCCATACAGTAGTGTAATAGAATTAATGGGGATATAAAACATTTTACATAGAAACTTTCTGTTGTAGTCCGTTTTACTTGTAATGATCAAGCAGCCTGTGGGGTTTTTTATGTTTATATGTAAATCCCAAGTTTGCTGGTATATAAAATAGCCTTAAAAATAGCCCCTTCCCTGTTCACCTGGGGCACCACTTTAATTATGCAGGTGTTTGGAGTTTGACATGAAATAGTGAAAAATGCAGATGCTTTCTTATTACAGTCCCTTGCCTTATTCAGCATGTATGGCGGGCTTTAGACCCTGCGGGTACCTGTTTGCCCACAGCTTTATCCCTTTTCTCTTCTTTTTTCTCGTGACTGGCTCCTACCTCTCCTGCTCCCGAGCTATTTACCAACAGCTTTTGATTTTTTTCTAAGCACTCCTTTTTGTTGTCTAAATAATAAATGAGAAATTATTATTACTCAATAATACATAAGTTGCGTGGCCACCACTGACCAAAGGAATACGAAAAGCAGATTGATGAGGCAGATGCTGGCTGCAAAAGAAAGTAACAGAGATGGCATGCAGCCTGGAAATATTTCCGTATCAGTGTTAAAAAGCTGCCCATCACCCTATTTGCACGCTTTGCGAAAGGAGGGTTCTGTGCTGGCCACAGCCCGTGCGGTGTGGGATAGCACGTCTGAGGGCTTGTAGGCTTTCGTGAAGGTCTTTGCTGTATCGGTTGGCTGTGCCAGGTAGAGTAAGAGTTAGACAAGGAAATAACCCTTGTCTTGCCCTCTCGAGTGGGAATTCCCAGCAGAGCCGTCAGCTCTTTCACGGTCGGTGCCTCCCCTCCGGTCTCGCTTGAAGCCACCTGCGTCCCCCTGCTGCAGCACCCTCTTCTGTGGCGGTGCAGCTGGTGAGCCTGGTCCGAGCCACCCGGCTGTGGGTGCTGGGGGGTCCGCACCTCGGGAGGGCCCTCCGCGGGGGGTGGCACCCCTTGCACCAGGAGGGGATGGGGAAGGGCGAGGGAAGGTATCTTGTGGAAAGTACCGCCGAGAGTCCAAGAGCAAAACGGAAAGCGGCGAGCCGGGGAGGGGTGGTGGGCATGGGAGACCCTGGGGACGGATGGACACGGACGCAAAAGTGCATCTGAGCTGCTTAGCCTTGCCCTTTCTCCTGCACAACAACTAGCGATTTTCTTTCTTATTTTTCTTTTTTTTCTGTAACACCATGTTTCATGCTGTTTTTCTTCCTGACTGCCATCCTGCACTGTAGAAACAAGTGTATCGTACCTGTATGAGAGCAGTTGCTATGGCACTCTGGGAATCCTGAAGAACAAGGAGATAGATCGTTGTAAGGTTTCCTGTTTGAAGCCGTAAATATGGTCAGCAACATATTTTTGTGGTCTGATTCTAGGAATCTCTGGCAGACTTTGTTATAGTAAAATTTAATTGGAAATGCAGTCGGCAGTTTTCACAGGTCTGCTCTCCTTTTTATAAGAAAGACACAATGATATTCCCAAAGATTTGAATTTGAAATAAGGATTTAGACTCTCTCGTGTTTCAAGGTGTAGAAATTCCTTGACTTTTGCAATTGTTTGAATTCAAATTGATGCTGTACAGTCACACTGGATGTTAAAGACTACTGCAGGCTTCTCGGTGCCTTTTCACCTGGAGGATGTTATTGGATTAGAGAGCATTTGATGACTCTTTTTTTTTTTTTATGCCAATCAAAAATTTATGAGTGTGCATATTTTTTCCCTATACTTTCTCTCATTCTTTCTCATTTGATATTCAAGTAAAAGTGCTCTGAAATCATTCAGGGTGTTAGATTGTCTTGTTTAACCATTTGACATTCAGCATTATTGTGGTATTGCACTGTAAACAAGATATGCCCGTGGACATTCAGGGACCTGATGATTATGACATAGATTATTCCCAAACTCAGTGGAAGCATTCAGCACCAGGTAGTAAAAATAAATAAATCTGATCTGATTCTGTGGTAATGTATCAAACATCAGTTGGCTTTGTTTGCTGAATGCCAAGTATGAAAACTGGCAGCTGATGGATTTTTAAATCAAATCTCTGTTCTAGCACTAATGTTAATTACCCAATGGCATTGCAAATTAATTTTAACATCATGCAAGCAGGTCAGATCTCACCTGTTACTTGTTATAATGTTCAATTCAGGTTCTACATGGTCAGCTATTACGAGCGGAGTCACAGAATAGCAGTGGGAGCTCGCCATGGTTCAGTGGCCCTCTACGACATCCGGACTGGGAAATGTCAGGTAAATAAATCATTGTGACTTCCTCCCCATAAAGTGTGGAAGTTATTGAAAGGAAAGAGCAGCGAGCTCTGCATCAGTTGACATGCTGAGCTGCTGGAACATTATGGATAATGCTGAGGGGATCAATAGTTTAATGAAGGACTCAAAGTATATAGAGCCCTACTGTCTTCATTCACTGGAACTGAATGGGTGCCACAGATGGGTTAATAATGAAAGCCTAAAGTTAGGCAATACCCCTGCTCTGAAATAAATGAAAAATCTGATTTTTAAAAGTTAGGGTTTATAGCAGTATACTTCTCTACTATAGAAGTCACAAAGAAAATCCACCAAGGTTTGGTTTATTTTTTTTTCCTAAAACTCCTCTCTACAAAATGCCATGATGCTTATGTTTGAGGTATTTACAGTTTTTTGCTGTTAAATAAGATACTTAATTTCTTACCAGTCACTAGTGACCTAGAAGAGGGTATACTTAAGGATAATGTTGAAATGAGTGCGTGGAATTAAAAATGTTTAAATGACAAACTATTTGCCTTTTCAGAAAAGTTTGTATCTTTTCAGAAAAGTTCATTGGTAATGTTCTTTATTATTCCTTGCACTATGTGATCAGCTATTATTTCGTATTGAATTTCAATACCATTTGTAAGGCTTGGATAAAATATCTGTATTTTGAATCTGCCTTATTCTTTTGTGTGTGTGTCAATATAATTTTTTTGTTGTTTCTAAAAGCTGTTGTCTTTGTTCCTTACAAAACGTGTATTATAGAGAAGGTAGCATAAATTTCTTCCTGCTAGATCTGCTGGCAGAACTGCATGCTTAGGTGTACACAGCTGGTTCGTTTTCTGTTCTGTTTATTTCCCAAATCTGGTAGCTGATGACACTGTATGTTCTGGTATTTTTTGTTTAGACAGCTGTCCTGTGGAAGCTGAGATGGCCAGATTTATTTTATAAATAGCTGTATAACGCAGGCAAATGGGATACATGGACTGCTCTATCTTGTTTTAGCTTAAGTCATTTGGATCATGATTTATTAATTTAACTATGAAATGGGTCCACAAGAACTGCTGTATACCGATATATCCGATGTCACTGAGCATCTTTGCTGTCCTGCAGTCGTAGCCAAGATGTCCAACATGCTGCAGAGCTGAGCGTAGCCTTCTTTCCAGATACGTTTCCTTGATTGTCTGTGCAAGGAGCTTGCACATGTTGCATGACTTTCTTCCCACCTATTCAGCAGCCAGCGTGATGAAGCAGCTGAACGTCTCCCACTGTCCATTAGGAGACACTGACCACAATCCCTTTCCGTGTGCATCATTGCGCTGAAAATGGAGAGTGCGAAGTCCAGATAAGTCTGGGAAGTCCTGGCATCTCAAACTAACAGCTAATTCCTGATGCTGTTGGAGGGGGAGAGGTGAAGAGCACAGCTATACACTTCCTTATGTCTCTGCTTTCAGAGCACAAGGAGAGTGGTGACAAGACCTGTCCTTCCATTTAGCAGCGGCATTTAACCAGTGCTGTCATCCTTGCACTTTTAACTTTGTCTAATTCGTACTTCAGCTACTGAGCTGGGGCCAAGGTGAGCAGAGGAGTTTGTTAGTACACAGGGTAGTTCTGGCTTCGCCGTGTGAGTTCTGGGTGGGTCTGTAACACATCTTACACAACCTGGTGATCCACACCAGTTTTGCAGAAGCCCAGAAGTGCTGGTAGGCAGGATGGCAAAGTGTGCCTACAGCTGCATGTATGTCTAGGGCTAAATCTTCCAGGAAAATCACCCCTCTGGCTTGGTTTGCCCTTGGTTTGGCAGGCATGCTAAAAATACCCTATTTTTCTCTCCTTTACTTTTTTCTTTGGTTCTTTTAAAGTGGAGTCCGCATAATACCCACCAGCCGTTTGAAGGGGATTGTGCATAGCTGTTTGCCAGCCTTTTCTCTGAAGTGCGCTCTCCTCCATGTCAGCTGGCAGCCTGTTCTCTGAGGCTCCTGGAACTAACTCCAGGTTTCTACCAGTAAATTGTCTGAATGATTTGCTCAGTTAATTTGATGTGTTGGTGAATATGCACAGCATTTGTTTTCTTACTTTCTGTCCTGGTTTCAGCTGGGACAGAGTTAACTGTCTTCCTAGTAGCTGGTACAGCGCTATGTTTCGAGTTCAGTATGTGAAGAATGTTGATAACACTGATGTTTTCAGTTGTTGCTCAGTAGTGTTTAGACTATAGTCAAGGATTTTTCAGCTTCTCATGCCCAGCCAGGGCACAAGAAGTTGGCACAGGACACAGCCAGGGCACCTGACCCAAACTGGCCAACAGGGTATTCCATACCATGGGACGTCCCATTTAGTATAGGAACTGGGGGCGGGGAATAGCCGCTGGGGGACTGGCTGGATGTTGGTCGGCGGGTGGTGAGCAATTGCGCTGCGCATCATTTGTACATTCCAATCCTTTTATTACTACTGTTGTCATTTTATTAGTGTTATCATTATCATTATTAGTTTCTTCTTTTCTGTTCTATTAAACCGTTCTTATCTCAACCCAGGAGTTTTACTTCTTTTCCCGATTTTCTCCCCCATCCCACTGGATGGGGGGGGAGTGAGTGAGCGGCTGCGTGGTGCTTAGTTGCTGGCTGGGGTTAAACCACGACACTTTCTTAATAAGCTTCCACATAGATCATGGAAAGCAGAGATGGGTATGAGTGAAAGGACTTTTGGGATGATTAGGGCAGGGTCCTTTGCAGATTTTATTATTATTCATGAGATAGAAAAATTTGGTGAGTGCCAGATATATGATTATTAGGGGGCAACGCCATCTATTGGATACAGGTTTCTTATTCCAAATCTGATCTTTTAAATTATTTCTCACAGTTGCAGATTTCAGGCTGCTCAGAAGATGTGAAATAATAACTTCAGGATTGTGTAGATTAAAAAGTTTTGAAATTGGAAAAAAGCTCAAATTTCTAGTTTACTTTTTTACAGAAGTTAAAGCTTCAAAATTAAAGTTTCAAAATGTTTATCAAAATATTTTAATTGCCTTAGTGTGTTTAACTGGAGGATGAATTAGGACACGTATCTGGGAAGAACTGGGTGAGCAGTCGCCAGCGCTGGGACGGTGGGTGCACTGGAGCCCTTGGGCCAGCCTCCCTCCCTCCTGCTCTCCTCTTGGGACCTTTTCACTTTCTGTACTAATTGCTGCTTCATTTCTAACAAGAAAAATGTTTGTCTAACACAGGCCATCATCTAGCTTAAGCTCATTCTGCTTCTTTCTGTTTATAATGTTTTTTGAACAATGCTACCGGAAACATACTATCCAAAAATTGCTTAGTCATTCACTATTTAAAAAAAGGATGATTCTTTGAATATTTTCTTGAAGCCATAAACATAATTTTGCATTTAGTAAATATGTTAGTGTTTTGCAAGTAAAAGTATGAAATACACATGAAAGTTTTATTAGTTGCCCCACCACAACTCACACGTAAGCTGTTTTTAATCAGGTGTCAAAATTACTTATTGGATAAGAAGAGGGGGAACTGCTTTCCCCTTCCTTCCACCCCATTTATACTCATCATTAAGGATATACATTAATTGAGATTAACGCTGAGATAAGCAGAAGGGGAGAATAATAAGCTGTGGGTATTGCAGGTGGGACCTCCCTGGGATGTGAAGGCTTGTTCCTGCTGCAGCAGGCATGGCATCTTCTAACACCTGAGCAAGTTTCTCAACACCCAGTGGAAGGTTGTTCCAGAATATTGGTGGGTTAAAATATCAAGGGTTAGAAATGGTTTTGTTTTGGTTTGTTTTTTTTATTCCCACACCAATATAATTATGGCTATCTGAGTCTTTGTACCACCTTTCACCTTTAGCTTAAATAATCAGTTCCTCTCCTTGGTTTTTACCCTTTTGCCTTATTTACAGGCAGCCTTAACACTCACTTTCAGCCTTTGTTTTGAAAGGTGAAAAGAACAGAGGACCCTAAAAACTCCTTCTCTGTAACGTACTCTGCATTTTTCTTAATCCTCCTTAGGCAAAATACTCATTTATGTTCTTGGCTCACACAGACTGACTTCAGTGTTTATTCCAGTCTTACTGCTGAGTTACCCCGAATCTTTCCCTTCTCACCTTCTATGAAATCACACAAAAGCAGAACTTGGAAAGGCATTTTATCTGAATATTGTTTTGCCAGATGAAACTGCACATCAAAGCTCACGTTTTTGACATGTCCCTGTTGTGCTCATCTGTGTTCCTGTAATGCAGAACCTCCTCTTCTCCCTTTAGATTTGTTACTTGCTCCTGATGCATTTTTTTGGTGGTTTATTACTAAAGTACCACGAAGGCCATCCCTTAGCGTAGGGTGTGGGACTCGGGTCATCGAACCCTCACGGCTCAAGAACTCGCGTGGGGAGGTGCATCTTTGAGTTTTTCTTTTCTTTCAGACCAAAGCCAGTCTAAACCACCGTCACCTCCTGTGGTCCCAGGGAGTATCAGGGAGCAGCGGCTATGAAGAGCATTTGGGGATAAAAGCTCTCCATCAGTTAAAGCATTGCAGCTTAAATTAAAACCTTGGCTTATGGCAAAAGGTGTTGTAGACAGCCAGCATCGTTCTCCTCAGTCAAGGGCACACGTGTGCTGTCCTGGCCCCGCTGAAGCCGGGGGTCAGTGTGCTATGGCCAGTGGCATGGTCGGGATGCCACCCGTCTCCCAAGCAGGAGGGCTGTGCGGTGTGTGGTCCCCCAGCTCAGTCCTGGTGTCTGCATCTACTGCCTCTGCCCATCACCTCTTGCTTCACAAATGCTTCTGGAGAGCAGCACCAGAGGACCTGCTGGTAGCATTTAGAGAGAGCAGTGAATTCAGTATGTCATGCGTGTATAAGCCAGAGTTAGATATAGTATCACTAAAAATGTTGTTCTTCGTGTTTCTCAAAAAGCTGAGTGAACAGTGGGGTTCCCTGAGCTCACCCCACATTCCTCATGCTTACCTTTCCCAAAAGCGGGGCAGGATAGTTTCATGGGCTTGAT